ATAAAGTTAGAGAGGATGTTTCGCTTCGAAATAAAGGACGAAATAGCGGTTAAAGCCACTTGACAGTTGCAGTGAAAGTCACGTTTTCTAGGCTGTATGTGTTTGGGAGAAACTGGGTCACAGATGTAGGTGAAAGAAGGGAGGTGTGGGTTGTGCTAGTGAAAGTTCGCCCACATATTTCAGATATTGAGCGTCTTTGTGAATAAAATTGCGTCAATGTGAGGTTTTGCTTGAAAACTGGTGATCTTATACCTGAATACGTACGAACACACTAATTGTAAGTATAGTTGGTGTCATTTCATGATTTTATATCAATAGCGGTGTAATTTATAAGATTTTCTGCTACTGGACGAACATTGATAAAATTACTATTCAGTTAAATATTCAATCATTTGGCACTGTACCATCTGAGCTAGTGACAGTGTTGTTAAATAAACAATAGATAAATAGGTACTTTGGAATTATATAATATTTTATTATTTAACAGGTATTCTGAACTGTAAGAATGGTTCAGACATGTTCAGCATCTGGGCAACTGAGGACAACTCACATTACGTATACACGTTCAGACAATGGAGAGGCTGAAACTGATATTCAGTCAGGTACTATTCCACAGAATAGAACAGAAATCACGTGTACTACTACAAAGTCCACAACTGTGAGAAGGAAAGTGACAACCACTTCAGAGTTGAATGGTTCTCCTGTCTCGAGTAACTCGACTGGAAGCCTCAGGACGCATCCTACAGTTTACATTGTTTTTGTGTCCTTACTTCTGGATCTTCTGGCATTCACGATGATCCTGCCCCTTCTTCCATCTCTCCTTGATCATTATAGAATTAATGACAGTCCCAATGGCCTTTATCCATGGCTGTTAGGGAAGGTGCGCTATTTTCAAGAATTTGTTGGTGCCCCTGACAGGTTTAACTCAGTTCTTTTTGGGGGTAAGTAGAAGTATGCTTTGTTAAAATAGTTTTAAGGTTAGTATTGTTTTATGTACAGACTCTTGGAATCTATGAAGGATGTTTATGTAGAACTTAACACAAAAATATTAAATGTGTGGTCATGTTATGGAATATAAGGATAATTTATAGCCTAATTGCTTTTAAAATTATGATAAATAGCAACATTCTTTCAGTATTGAATTTTATTTCATAACACAGTATTATGTGTTGGCGAGTTATAATGGGATTTTGTTTCTCCCATTAACTTAAACTAAATAACAATTTTTTTGATTTTCTAGGATTTCTAGGTTCAATGTTCTCATTTCTTCAGTTTGTGGCATCTCCATTGGTTGGTGGTTTGTCAGATGTTTATGGACGCAAACCAATCATGCTCCTTTGCCTTGTAAGTTCTTGCTTTTATTTGGTGGACATGTTTAATCTTATTCACCCTTATTTACTTGTGAATGTAATTTTATTTTTACATGTTTCCATTTATTCTTCTTCCTAAAACAGTTTGGGATTGCGTTTTCGTATGTTATGTGGGCATTGTCTAAAAACTTCGCCCTGTTTGTGTTGGCGAGAGTTATCGGAGGCATCAGTAAAGGCAATGTGAGCCTCTCTATGGCTGTGATAGCTGATGTCTCGTCACTAGCAACCAGGGGAAGAGGAATGGTAAGTTGCTCTCTTTTTTTTTCTGTATTCGGAACCAATAATGTATGCACAGTTTGTATTACTCAGGACTCATTTAAGGAACCTCAGAAAGTTGTATAAAACCAATAAGCATTTAGCTGAAAAATATGTTTAAAGTAAAAATGTGCTTTTGAATTCATATATTATAACAATTATTTACTTTATATTCATTTAAAACCAAATATGTATACTTATAAATTTGTGATTGGCGGTTGGTATTGTCATTTTTTTATGAGATGGCCTGTTGAAATCTACATTACATAAAAAATATCAGTAAAGTTGCCATAAAGTTTCAATAAATTGTTTTCATTGTCCTTTTCGTTGATAAAGTTGGCGGTGCTTACTGTCTCCATCGTCAGGGCGATAATAGACACAGTAAGCTCCTCTTAAATGTGTGTGAATATCTACCAGACTATACAGTGCAATGTCCCAGAAGGCAGCCATGTTCTTACTTGTTAACATGAAATTTGGAAATATGCTTTGCGCTTTGTGACTTTGCTGTGGACTACCTTGAAATAATTTATGCAGTTGCGTAACTTCCTGTTATTTCATGAAGTTTCCAGTCTGTTACGGAAACTGTACAGACGATAAGTATTTTGTACTGTTACGTGCCGTTAAGTCTCTGTCTTTTTATAAAATTGTCCGGTAGGCCTTCTATTTGAATGGCACGGAAACTTAATTTCCTGTTTAACGTCATCATGACTTAAACCCTTGACCTATTTCAGTTACAAGAATTTAAATGTTTCCTGTTCATGAGCGTTTTTATTGTGTGATGTTGAAGTGAAAGATATAAAAATTATATTCGTGTGACTGACGGACATTTCTGATGTCAAGCGCCGATGTTAGACTTTGATTTTGGTGCTGTACTTCCGCTGTGCTTAGTTTCCAAGCTACAAAAACCATATTTACTGGGACTTGAACCAAGGACACGTTTTCAGGGTTACAGCCTTTGCTCCAGTAACCTCCTCCCCGGAACAAACAGTTTTTGTCTTGGAACCATTTCTGTCGTACTTGGCTCCCAAGCTGCAGAAACTACCCTTGAACCCAGAAAACTTTTTTTGGAGTTTTGACATTTGTAAAATATCTTCCTGATTTCAGGGCATGAGCATACAAATTCTGGGCCAAAGTAGTTGGTCCCATATCACTGTAAGTGAAGATAAATATACACATACATACCCAAAATTTCAATTTGTACTTGTGGGTTATCGGGACAAATCGCTTTAAAAATAGGTTAGGTTAGTTTAATGTGTGTGGATAAATAACCTTACCCAACCTAACCCAGAAGTACCTTTCAATTTTATATGTAAAATTAACTGTCAATGTTGGTCTTCTATGTAGTAATACCACGTGGACTTGTAAGCAGATGTAGGAACATTTGCGTCCATTTATAGGTCTCCAAATCTTTGTCGTTTAATAGTCCACGTGGCGTCACAACTCCGAAGACCTTAATGAATATCGATAAAGCCATGATAACCGCAGATCTAATATTAGATGAACTGGTTTAAAATGTACATTGTGCGTTGCAGGCATTAGTCGGTATCGCATTTTCCGTGGGTTTCATAGTCGGACCGGTCATCGGAGCCATGTTTGCCCACTGGTCTCATGGACAGTCGGGAAACTGGTTCGTTGTTCCTGCACTATTCGCCCTTGGCTTGGCACTGACTGATGTCGCCTTCGTACTCGTCTGCTTCAAGGAGACTTTACCAAAGGTGTGTCTGAAATTACAGCATTATGCATAATGAAATTTTTCTTTTAACTGCATAGTTGCAGAGTAATACCCTGTAGATTATACTTTATAGAGTTTAATGTATTTTCATTTTTAGTGCGGCTATCGCTGTGTGTATATGTTTCTTGTTAAATGAGATGTCGTACATTTAGGTTTTAACGTGTGCCTGTGTGATAGCGTAATTGCTATCGAGACTATCAGTTTATATAAACTTGTAATATCATTTGTATTGTCTGTGGACAACATTTCATTGTGATTACGAGGTGTGATGATGCTGACATTTTTATAACGTGTGACTGATTGTACATGACGGCGTTGAAGTCGTTAATGCGTTGAAGGTTGGTATAGTTGGTATAGTCACTGGTGGTTATATCACAGTTGCTTTTACTTTGTTTTTGCAGGAAAAGAGAGCCAAGTCAGTGGCCGGCAGCCTCGGTCAGGCCGCATCATACATCAGTCTGCCTGATCTCTTCCGTTTCAAGGCAGTTAAGAACATTTCACGATCTGGTATGTTGGTCGGAGACGGCCGTCCTCTGGGTT